CATCCTCCCCTAAATTTGCTTGTGACTGATGTCCAATATCTCGAGAGCGCTTATTCTCCTTATTCTTCATAGGCACCTTCCTTCGTATTGATGCATCAACAACCCTACCATTGAATCTATTCAACTCACTCCCACCCGCATCCGCATCATCCATATCTAATTATCTACATATTTACACAATATCATACTTAGATATGCACTAATTAATTAAATTTCTATTAACTAATGTACTATTAACATTAATTGTTAATTAATCACAAATTAATTTTCTATTAACTAATGTAATGAATATTAACATTAATTGTTAAATCAATTCTTAATTAATTAAAATTCTATTAACTAATCTAAGTAATTAAACATTCATACGCCTATTACAAAAAAAAATATTTATACACCAACTTAAATAAATATTAACACTAATTGCTAATTTCTATTAACTAATTAAGTAATTTTTTATTGACTAATTAATTATCATATTAAATTAAATTAAATACAAAAACTTGCTGGGCCGAAAGAATTTTGCGGCAGGTGCGCCGCCGAGCCGAAAAAAGTTTGCGGCCGGTGCACCGCTGGGCCGAAAAAGTTTGCGGCCGGTGCGTCGGCCGGCCTAAAAACTTTTGCGGCCGGTGCGCCGCCGGGCCGAAAAACATTTGCGGCCGGTGCGACGCCGGGCCGAAAATGATTTGCGGCCGGTGCGACGCCGGGCCGAAAATGATTTGCGGCCGGTGCGACGCCCGGCCGAAAAATTCTTTCGGCCTAACGTCGCTCCGGCCACAAATTTTTTTCGGCCGGCCGACGAACACGCCGCCGGAAAATTTTTGGCCGGCGTGTTCGGCGACCGGCCGAAAAAAATTTGCGGCCGATGCGTCGCCGGGCCGAAAGAATTTTTCGGCCGGCCGTCGCACTGGCCGCAAATTTTTTTCGGCTCGGCGGCGTTTGGGCCGCAATATTTATTCGGCCCGCCGTGTTTTTCGCCGGAAAAATAAAACTTACTTGTTTTCCGACGGTTGAGGGCGACGGGAGGTTGGCCGACGACGGAAGAACGGTGCCGGCGACGGAGGCATTGGGCTCGTCAACAGAAGTTTTTGTTGGAATGAGTCAAATGTTCTTGATATCCGAATTTATAGAATGAAAGGAAGGGAAGGAAGGGAAAATTCAAAATTTGAATTCAATTTTTTTTTTTTAATTGGCGGCAAATAGCAATTTGGTTGGCGGCAAATAGCCGTTCACTTACCAAAAGAGTGGTACCATGTTCATGGATTTTTTTTTTCATTTTTGGTTTCAAATTTGCGGCTTCGTAAATTTACAAAATCCACACAAATATCCGTAATTTGCAAAAACTTGATTGAATATTTGATGTTTAAAATCTATAATCAAATAAGGTAATTTCATTCCATTTTAAGTGCAATAAGATAATTTCATTTTTAAATTCATAAATCCAATTCAATAAAATCTATCTTTAAGTCCAGTAAACAAACAAACTAAATTTCAAATCCACCAAGCACATCACCAATCATTCATATTTCAAATCCAATATTTAATACAAATCTTAATATTTCAAATCCAACAAGAAAAGCGGGAAAAAACATGACTAGAGTTTTTATTCCAAAGTGGACAAATGAAATCACATGTGCATCTTATGGGAGCTGAATTGTCATCTTCGTAACTCTTTAAAAGGGAAAAATAAATTACAATGAACATGGAAAGTCTGATGGGAGCCCATAAAAATGAAATTGGGGCCCTATAATTGTTATCAAAGAAGGAAACCCATGAAATTGGAACAATATTTCTTACTTATACTTTGATTGTTTTAGAGTAACGTCTTTAGACATAGAATTTAGTATGATTGACAAATTTCCATGTCATTTTACTCATATAGTTTTAATAACTTATTAGGTTCCACTAAACTAAAACTAAATAGGCATGTTATCATCATCACTAAGATTTGAACTAGCAACCTATGATTTCAAATCATTATTGTGCCTTAGACATTTAACTAATAGGCTACATTCTATTTGATGATACTAAGCAAAGTAAGATTAGTAGTCATGTTATGAAATGAGTTTAAAACATTGTATCATTTGGATGAGTGTTACATTTGGAGTGAATATCAATCTTATGACAAAACGATTTTAAGATGTGAAAATAGTACAAAACCAACTTTCATACTATCGAGGTAAGTGTTCTAATGCAAAAATGCTGGGATCCGAAGTAGAACGCAAGAGGAGGCCACGACAGTCCCCATCGCCGGAGCACCGTCGCTCCCCTTCTACTTTAAAAGGGAAAATTTCAGTCATCTACACCCCATTCATTTCCATTTTTCACTCCCCCCCCCCCCCCTCTCTCAAGCCGAAAACCCTATCCTTTCTCTCTGAGTTTCAATTTTTCTCCCAAAAACCTAAACTTTCAATCACCAAATCAACCTCCAAAACTCAAAATTTTTACATAAAATTTGGGATACAACCTACCCATCACCTACTAAACAAAGCCTAGCCAAAGAAAATTCCAAAAGCTTGTTGGAGGAGTAACGTCGGCCATACCGACCGTCATGTTGCCCTTTCCGTTCTTCTTCATTTCTAGTTTTTCTTCGATTTTTCTGCAAGTTTCTTCAATCCAAGTAAGTAACCATGATATTTAGAAGAACCTAGTAGCTTGAACCATGAAATTAGTGCTTTGATTGAGGATTTCAAAGTTTAAAATTGCATGAGATTGGTTGGAGAGTGTTTAGCAATTTTCGAGCACTATTAGGCGCAATCAATGCTTATGAATGAATGTTGATTGCTTATACGCTTAGAATCAGATTGAATGATGCTTATGATGATTTTCATGAATATATGCTTGGATGAATTAATGAACTTTAGCAAAGGTCATGCCAAAAATTTCAAAATTTTAGCATAACACATTTTCACATTGAGCTTAAAACGATTAAAAGCTATGCTATATTGTCAAAAATATTGGTAGTTGTTTTGATTTTGAAATTACAATAGGAATAGGACATTGCTAGTTCAAGTTTATTACTATGGTGGATTGAATGCATGCCATTTTACTTGTGTCAACCCATCGACCTTTGCCTAATCTTATAATTGGAGCTTTCAACGATTTTAAGATTTTCAAGATATGTGCTTCATGTTACTTCTACATTTTGATCTACAATACTTCTTATACTTTTATGACAAAATACACTTTCATAGCCATAAATTTCACGTTTGTGACAATAATAGCCACTTTTGGAGAAATACCAAATATAGCCACTTCCGTCCAATACTTTAACGGTGTCATCTAACAGTCTGACTGGACTAACAACAACCATTGACGTGGCATATTTTATTCAATTTTAATGCCAGGTGGAAATCATTAATTTTTTTTTCCGTTGAATAATCATTAAATTTTATCCTGTAAGTTTTAAGTAAATTAAATAAAAAAATAAAAAATACAAACTATAATCTCAGAATGAATACCAAAACCCCTTTCCACGTGGATGAGAAAAAAATAAAAAATGATCATACATTAACTAATGAATTTTTTCAGGATCAATCTGTGCGTCCCCTTCTCTCTCTTCCAATATCATCTCCCTCACCATGCCCCCAAATCTCAATCCCTACCGCAAAACACTCTTGCCGACATTGCAGCCCACAATCACTCAAACGCGCCGGAGCTCCGGGCAATCTAAAACTCTCTTGCCCACGACGGAGTTCCCGACCAGCAGATGGATCTAAACATCTACTATGATGCTAAGCTTACTAGACTGAATGGGGAATCTCACTGCAGCTTGGCGGTGTTCACAGGAGACGAGAGCAAGGGAAGAGCAGGGGCCCGTGATTGGCTTGAGGAAGAGTTTCAGCATCGCTACTGCCGACTGCGGAATCGGCGACTAGGGCGAAAAAGCAAGAAGCTAGCATTTGTGGCGGTGTCGGCTTCTACTTCTTCTTCTCTGCTCCACTACGACGACTTCGTTCAATCCGCCATCAGCCGGGCCTTCAATGCATGAATCAAAACCCAGAACCAGGGTTCCCAGTGGCGCTTCGTTCGAGCTTTGAGGAAGGACTGGATTCCAGCCGTTTCGAGATCGGGAACGAAACAATCAGGTGCAGATCTAGTATCCGCAGAAGCCACACATCAAAGTCGCCTCACCAAAAATGGAAGCGGGCCAAGACTACTTTCTCCTCGCAATTTCTGCTAATCGTGGCAGTGAAGCATAGAGGCAGAGTAAGGGTAGCAGGTGTGGCGGCGACACTGCTTTTTCGGTAGATTTGGAAAAGGGGAGAAGAGGAATGCAGTTCGCGGTGGACGGAAGCAGCGACGGCGGTGGATTGCGGTCGGTGAACTCCACCTCTCTGTTTCCAGTTGTTGGCGTCTGTTATTAGAGAGCAGCAGACCGACAACAGACTAGCAGATCTGAACAGATCTGTTAAGGGTCGGGAAATCCCAAATCCCTCGCCGGCCCGAGTCTTCCTGATCTCTGCTTCTATTCCCCCCTCGTTTGTTAGAGACATGGGATCAACCTAATATGCATGTTTTTCCTTCAATCGATCTGGATTTAGAGCACCAAATAGTTCAAGAGTTGGTGAAAGTGCACGAAGATGAAGACAAGAATCAAGATGATGATGATGCGGGTTGAAGCTAGTGATGATTGTGTAGCAGGAAGAACCAGCGAGATTTGTAAAAGGGATTGCCAGTTTTTTTTTAATTCAATTTTGTGATTAAATAAAAATAAAAAAATTTCATTTCAATTTTTAATTAAAATAACACGTGGCGTCTAGGTGTCATCAACGGATGAGTTGTAGCTGACGTGTGTGATGATTTGGCATCCTAGTCAGCCTAATGTTAACCTAACTCACGGAGTTTCTAACTCCTTCAAAGTTTGTAATGGAAATGGCTATATTTGTCATGAAACTTTCAAAATTCTGGCTATAAGTGGTATTTCTCTAAAATTGGCTATTATTGTCACAAACGAGAAAGATTTGGCTATACAAGTGTATTTTGCCTTTTTTTATGAGCTTAAACAACGAATGAAACATATGGAGTAATTTTTTGTTAATACGCAAGAAGTTATATGATTAGCTTATGAAAGAAGCCATGCTCTTAAAGTGTGGGGTTATCCCCTATGATCTTTATTAATTTAGATTCTTTTGCATAGGAACATGTTGAGTTCCTACTCATGGCTAGGAAGGCATAAGAAGAAGAAAGGAAATGATGGTGCTTCTTCATCAAGAGGGCCGAGGCATCCTAGTACACCTAGAGTAGATCTAGGCCCTGTAGCACCACGATTGTCTTCACGACTTAACAGGAGTAAGCCGACAATCGTGATTGAGGAGGAGGATTCTTTGAGGGATTTGAGTTCACACTTCCACTTTTCAAGGAGATCCTTGAGTCACACCAGCAGAAGGCTATCTATTGATAGCAAGAGATCAAGGAGCATGAATGGACAGCTCCCACCAGAGTTTGAGGTGATGGAGACTGATAATAGTTGGAGATTCGAGAGGACACAACTGAAGCTCTCATGCATCCCTTCCTCCAGTTTCTCGGTGGGTGTCCTAGTCCATGAAGATAACAAGATGGGATGAATTGCCTGTATATAAATAAGGAGAGCTAAACTAGCGAGACTTCGACCAGTACCAAGGATGAGGAACACAACTGAGACATATATTGGATGAATGTGGTCTCTTGTCATTACTCAGTTAGGAGAGAGTATATATATATATGTCCTCGCTCAAGAGTTTTTGGCCACATTGACAATTGAGGAAGCCAAGACCTTGAGTGCGATTTGCATTTCCTATATGTAGACACCACTTTTTGTCCGAGTTTAAATATTAATTAAATAAATTTTAATTTTCGTTTAAGGTTGGCAATAGCGAATCTTAAACGCATTTTTGGCTAAAAATGAATGAAGGTGGTTATGGTAAGTGTGTTTGTCTAGACCCAACACGATTTGGAAATAGCAAATCTAAAGACACTGGAATGACTTAAGCTCGCGGTAACTTGTCATATTTTTGTTTTGATTAAGCAAGTTTGCGTTTTATAGTTATAATCTAGTTGTGAATTGATTTCATTTGACGTTGCCTCCATGAGGTTTGGGTTTCAATTTATGGGACAAGAATAAACAAAGATCTTTTCATTAAAATTCTTACGTAATAGACACCCATTTTACGTAATAGACACTTATTTTACGTAATTAATATTAAAATTTCGTTACGTAATCTGTTAAATCATTACAGAAGACTTACGTAACGCTTCTAATTTAACTGTTACGTAAGAAATAACTATCGTTACGTAACCTTTACGTAATATATGCATACTTTACGTAACAGTTGTAAAGTGGCATTACGAAAGCCTTACCTAATGGATGGTCCTTTTACGTAATGAATATTAATAAAGTTACGTAATGTGGTAAGTCATTACGGAAGTCTTGCGTAACACTTATAATTTAACTGTTACGTAAGAAATAACCTTTGTTAAGTAAACTTTACGTAATGAGCGTGTATTTTATGTAACAACTGTAAAATGTCATTATGGAAGCCTTATGTAATAGACAATGTCTTTGCGTAAGAATATTAACCTAGCGTTCCGTAAAATGATAAGTCGTTTCGGAAACCTTCCGTAACGCTTATAGTTTAACTGTTACGTAAGACTAACAAGCATTACGTAATTGTTACATAATAAACACTAGCATGGGCCCCGACCAGTTGGCCGGAGGAAGGTGAAGTATGAAATTTGATAATGTAATGGGGTGTATAACTTATTGCTGTATAGTTATTTTTTGGGAAATACGTGATAAAAATAGTGAATTTTAGCAGGGAAGAGACATGAATGATGCAACGAATTAAAAATCAGCCTTATGAACCAAAATCAAGTACATGTTATCTTGTAAAACAATATTGTTTCTGGTAATATGATGAGGTGGAGTAAGTTTTATAGAAACCGAATTCAAGAAAATCGAATAAAAAATCTCCTATCCCGCCGTTTTTAGAAAAATGAGCATATCACAATCGTTGCTAGCTTTTATTCGGCCCGTTGGCCGATTAATTTGCTTTATAAAACTTTCATCGTGTCGTCATTGTGCTTTCTGGTTTTTGCCAGGCCATGATACAATCTAAAGAAATCAAGAACGAACAACACGATTTGGGATAGGAACCGTCGTTCCTGTATCTATAGGTGTCAAAGTGAACCCGTCGGGTTGAAGCGGGTTGCACTTTTTGGTCTTTTCCCATTTTAGTTTTTGTTTCTGTATTTTTATGTTTGGGTCGATTGGCTCTGATACCAAAAATTCTACGGTTCCAAATTCCTAAATTTCTTTGTTTCATATCAAAAGGTCTTGTTTTTTCAAAAGTCTCAATCATCTCTTTATTTTTTAAAAAGTCTACTAAAGAGTCTAATCATTCTTTCTTTTCCTTGTTTTCTGCAACAAGTCTCATTCTTTCTTTTTCTTTCATGGAATGGCCCAAATAAAGGTGGTTAATTTTCATTTTGTTGTTTTTGGTTTATCTATTTTCTAGTTTATGTTTTATTTTGTTTAGACTAGTTATTATATCGGTAATTAATTCAGTTTTAGATACGGCTTCCTCTAATGTTTCTGAATTTCCGATAGACATCTGTTCTTCTACAATATCTGATACGAAGTGAGATAATTCTAACGTAACCGTATTAATGTCGCCTACTGATGTAAGGTCTATTGCATCTATTCCTTCTATCAATTTATTTATGTAATGAGTGTTAGGCATCTTTACAATTTTTCACTCATTTCTACGATTAGTTCTTGTAATTTTTTTATTTCACTAGTATTATCATTTTGATGAAGTATAGTTATGTTTTTTATTTCCTTGTTTTCTTCTTTCTCCATTTCCTTCTGCTTATCGGTTAATCTCATGGAAGAACTTCTCTCATCAATACTTATTCTTGGATGATCATAATTTGATTTTATTATTTTTAGAGGGGATTCTAATTGAATTAATGATTTGAATAAATCTTCTATGGTGATGGCTTCCTTATCTTTAAACGCTAGACTATGATGACTATTGGTCAGTGCATAGTTTATCTGGTATGTTACCGAAAAAGGTTTACTGTTTTCTTTCATGAATTTTTTTCTTTTCAATTCATACTTTATAATAATGGAAGAGTCGAGATTCCCATCTGTAAACTAATTCCTTGTTGTAGATTAATATCGAATTTGATTATTCCTACTCCTAGATTTCCTTTTCCTTTTGCAATAATACTCTCTTCTCTATTGATGAGTCGATCATCTCTTATTTCTAGTTCTATAGGTGTACTTATCCCTGTTTTCATAGTAGATTTTAGAATGATTTGTATCGTGCTAATGTGAATATAAGCTATTTTATTTCTTTCTTCCTGTTGTAACTTGGATAATTTTTTTCCTAATTTGTTCCCTATTTATTATTTGAATTAGGAAATCTCCCTTAGTTTGTTCTATTGGTACTGCCGTTTCTCCTATCATTTTTCCATATTTAATTATATTTTTTCTATCGAATAGTTTGGATAAAAAAGACTTAGTAATAAAATTTTGCGTTTCTGATAAGGTAAAATTAGTTTGTTCCTTAATTTTCTTGACATCTAATATTCCATCTAGAAAATAATTTTCTTCTTCATTTTTACTTAAATAATCAAAGTAACTGTTACTGCTACTGGGGTTATCCGATATACCTGATTGTTGCTTAGGCTGATTGATGCAACTTCTTGCTACTGAACGTCCCCATGATGGTGTAGTGCGAGGGAGGCTGATTGCTTATGATCGTTGAAAATGGTGTTGGAGAATTCTTTGTGGTGTTAATGGTTGGTGTATAGTTTTTTATGGATAGGTGGTAGTGGATATGAGTGTCTCCAGAGTATTATCTCAAACGCTTTGTGCCAAAGCACCAAGACTACACTTAGTCTTTTGAGAGAGAAATCTCAAACTTTTATTCTATGCTGCCCCCTTATGAGGTTCAGATGTACATATTTATAGATGCAGGGGCTTTGCCTGCTTACATATGTGCTTACATCATTCTCCACTTAAAAGAGAAAGCAAACACATCGTACAAACATTTTTTCCTTATGGGCTACATTATTGATCAGAAAAAGAAAGAAGAATCTTTAGTCACTTTCTTTGTTTGATTCTTGAAGTGTTGTCTTCTTCTTCTTGGTTGATGTTGCCTTTTCTTTTCTTTGTTTGATTCCTGAAGCATTGTCTTCTTCCCCATGGTGGATTACATTTCTTTGATTCCATTACTGCTACTAGTGGAGGTGGTCATATCTGCTGCACAGTGGGTGCATATATGATCCTCGTGTAGCTGTAATAATTCACAAAGTTGTTGTTTTTGTTCTGACATTATCGGGGCTAACGTTCCTTCTAGATTGATAAAATCCTTGGCTAGATCTGTGATGAATCCCCATTCTTCCGCTGTGATCTGATTTTTAGAATTGCTGATAATGATCTTGTTGGTGTTGGTATAATTGACTTTAATATTATCTGTTGGGTTAAGATAATATAGGGCCTGACTTACTGAATATAATGATCTGACTTGATAGTCCTCTGGTATCCTGACTGTCTCTAATTCATCTCTGGTTGGATAGTTGCCATTAGATACTCCCATTTTGATGATTGCTTTTGATGGCACGACCATTTCTTCCTTGTTGAATATTGGATAGCTGGATGTGTATCGTAGATAGATTTCTCTACCCTTGGCGAATGAGTCTAGATACCTTTTTACGACTATCTTGAACTTTGTTGGGAATTCTTCGAAGATATGAGTCTTCTGTGTGTATATTGTGTCGATTAATCCATATTGATGAAGAGCAAATAGTGTTGTTGGTGCGATTTTATTTGTGATGATGACTGCTCTTGGACCTCCGTTAAAAGTTGGATAGAAGCCCATGGTAGTCTGAATTTCCTTGTAATTGCGAAGATCCTCCCAGCATTGTTGGAATTTTTGAAGTGTAGGTCTATTGACTTCTTCCTTTTGCTTCGTGGTTGGAATATCCTTATAGCTGATGCTTAGTATCTTCATCACTAATCTTTGTTGTGGAGTGGCTGACTCTGTCTTCTGTTTCATTGCAATTGCCTTGTATGATTCCCTTAATGCTTGCTCTGCTTCTTCTTTGGTTGAAAATGATTGGTGTTTGATGTTGTATCCCGTAACATGGTGAGATACTATTGCCCAGTTGTTATAGAGTCCCCGAAAAGGTCCGTCGTAAATGACATACCATTTTCCCTTTTTTTATTTTCTTTCGTCTTCTTCGTTTTTCTCGTCTTCTTCCACCATGTCTGCCCATTTTGTAGATGGTAGCTGAATAGTTTGTTGTTGCAGAATAGTTTGTGATTGAGCAGTGCTTTTAGTTTGTGTTTGCAGAATGGTGATGGTGGTTTTTATTTCCTCCAATTCCCCCCGCCTTTGAGAAAGCTGAACTTCAAGGGTACGTATCTGCTCTTCTTTCTGTTGTTGCTGATGCTGCATTTGCTTGATTATTCCTTCCATTCCCTTGTAAGGGTGTCTGCTAATGGATTGGCTGTTGACTTGATATACTTCAGATATGGTTGATAATAGTGAAGTTGTTGTTGCCAACGAATGAGTCTTCCTTTATTGAAGTCTACATCTAGCTTGTATCTCCAAAATCCTGTAACATATTTAGAGTCGGTTCGTAGTTCGAATCGACTGGTTAGTAATTCTATTTTCCATTTTTTCAGTGTTCTAAGACAAGCTAGTGTCTCTAGCTCATGTATTGGGTAGTTTCTCTCAGTAGAAGAGAATGTTCCAGATATATATTTACATAACTTCCTTGGATATTTGTCTGTATTGAATGCTATTGTATAGATTGTTTCGAATCATTTGATTCATTACTGCGTCGA